CTTCAGAATATACTAGGGCTACAGACTTTTCTAGAATGGCCACCATATGTGCTCATAGGTTCTCACTATCAAGATTTGAAAGACTTGATACCCTCGTCATGGTTCTACCATTCAAGGACATATATCAATACATATTGCAATACTAATGATTTACGCGATATAGTATAAAATGCCTTTTATTATTAATGAACATTATTACAAAGAGTCAATTCTACAATAATTGATTGGCTCTAAGGCATCTACTCTAACACATCTCAACTTCAATATCAGAGCATGGTTTTGGAACATGGGTATACATCAATTCACATCAAACTTTTGAAAATGCTTACAGTAAATACAAATTGCACAAAAGAACTATTTACTAACCAAAATCAAAATTTTCAAAAACAATTTTTTTTTTTTTTTTTGGCACCCCAAACCTAAACTAAACATTGTCCTCAATGTTTGCAAAGAAAGCATGTGTTTAGAAAAGAATTTAAAGGGAACAGATAAATAATAAAAAGAAAAACAAAACCTAGAAAAAAAAAAAAAACAAATAAAAGGAAAAAAAGAAAGAAACTACCTAATATAAGTGGGTTGCCTCCCACCAAGCGCTTTCTTTAACGTCTTGGCAAGACGTTTCTCCTTGTATATTCAAGAAGGCTCATCCCTATGTGGGGATGTTGGTAACTTTAAGGATTTACTAGACTTTTCTTGTGGTAGAATAGGAATTGCTCTATCTAGTATCTCATGGAATCCTTTAGTTTCCTCATCAAGAGTCTCCTCTACCCTATCAAGTGTTAGGGTAGCTTCAAGTTTATCTTCTATCTTCTCCTGCAAATAAGTGTCATAAACAAGTGAGTCCACACAATCGATAAAAGAACACTCATCATAAGTAGAAGTAGAAGGAATAGGTAGAGAACCAAACATTTTAAATTCAACAGTCTCTCCCATGACTGTCATGGTTAACTTCCCTTTATGGACATTTATGATTGTCTTGGTCATCGCCATGAATGGTCTACCAAGCAAAATTGTATGTTCCTTGTCCTTTGAGGGTACTTCTTCCATCTCCAAAACCACAAAGTCAACGGGAACAATCAGCTTGTCGATTGCACCAACAAATCCTCAACTATCCCCTTTGGGTATTTGACCTATCTATCCGCAAGTTAAAGGGTCATAGTTATTGGCTTAAGCTCCCCCAAACCTAGTTGCAAGTATATTGAGTAAGGCATGAGATTGATACTCACTCCCAAGTTTCCCATGGTGATGTTTATGTTGAAACTTCCAGGATCTTTCAATCTAGAAGGCAAGTTTTGTTGGAGCACTGTACTAGCAACTTCCGAAACCATGAATTTCTTGTTCTTCTAATATCTCCTCTTTTTGGTGTTGAGTTCCTTGAAAAACTTTGCGTAGGAAGGCATATTCCTCATAACATCCAAAAGAGGCAAGTTAATGTTAACTTTAGAAAGCATATAAAAAATTTCAGAAAATTGCTTATCCTGTTTAATGTCCTTTAGTCGATTTGGATAAGGAATTGGAGGCCTATAAGGCTTCGTTGCCTTATGGAGTGTTGGTGCAATATATTCTCTAGCTAGTAATTCTTTGAGAGGTATATGATAAAATCCACTAAATGTTTCTTAGAAAACATATACATATACATATATATGTGTGTGTGTGTGTGTGTGTGTGTGATGTAAAATCCAAAAACACTAATTTCAATTTATATATATATATATATATATATATATCTACACAAAACAACTAATATACATTAATAAGTACAAAATAGCTTTGGATAGTGCCGCCAAACTCCTCCGCTTATTGACGTCCCACCTGATCGTATTTCATCTAGTACATGCAAAACAATAAAATAACAGAGTGAGTACTAATTGCTCAATAAGTAAACCAAACTACACTACTGTTTTTCCTCCATTACTCATATTCTGGCTTTCCTTTCTCACTTCAATCTTTTCTATCATTCTTCGTTCTTTTCTATTATTCTAGTTTGCTACTTACTGATGTGCAGAACAGTTAATAAAAATGAATATAGTCAGGCACATAAGAAATTCTAGTTAGTGCAAGTAGCATAATACATATGCAAAATAAATAAACATTTCCTAAGAAATAAATTTTCTTTTCTGTTTTCTGTCTCTTATTCTGTTTCTCTTTCTTTTTCTTTGTTCTATTCTGGTTTGCCGATCGGACTAGGCTGGGGAATGGATTTGGAACCCTAGCCATGTAAGTGTATTCTGAAATTATTTCTAGGTACAGTCCCCATCCACATGCACTTCTAATGGACTGTACAAATTCTACTTTTCTATTCTGAGGCCGCTCACTGATGGCGGTGTACATGTAGGAATTTTCTGCATCTCTGCCACTCACGGGTTCCCCATCGCAACAACCTTCTAACATAACATTCTATATCTCTGAAATAGATTCTATACACATTTCTAAATAAATTTCCAAGTTATGGAAATTCTTCAGTTGTATTCTTTAATAAGTAGGAAAATATACATATTTACATGTTAGCTTAAAATGAATCTACAAAGCAATTTTCTTTTCTTTCCTTCTCTCACTTTTTTTTTTTTTTGCTAACATTTTCCTTATATTCTCACTTACCAAATCACGTATAATTATTATATATATATATATTATATATATATATATATATATATATATATATATATATATATATATATATATATTATTATATATATATATATGTGTGTGTGTGTGTGTGTGTGGTGTGTTTGTGTGTTGGTGGTGTGTGTGTGTGGCCAAGCCCATTCTTTGATATTCTTTCCAATTCAAGTACACAAATTTGAGAATTATTATGGATATTGATATGTCATGACATAGTCTACCATTCTCTACTATCAACGAGCCATGTCAAGTACAATTTAACATGTAAATCCCTTCTAACACTTTCCCAAAGTCTAAGTTTCACAATTTCTAATTCAATAACTAAATACAATGTGCTATTGAAGAAATACTAAAGGTTCAAGTAACTTGAACCATGCATTAAAAGTCATTTATCTCATTGAACTAACATGACCAAGTGATATTATAAATTCTGGCATAACAAAAAGCACTCTTGAATACTAAAATTTACACTTGGTTAAGCCTAACATAACCTTTCAACTCCAATTCTTTCCTTTCTCTAACAATCTCTTCAATAAGAGTTAACAAACTCATGCGTGCATTTCTCTTTGAATTTTCATCAAACAATTCACATGCACATGCAAATACTTAGTTGGCCACACTTCCACATCTCTCCAAATCCACCAAAATTGGAGCAAAAACTAACTAAATTTAACTTCAAATCTGGCCGGATTCAACACTTCAAAATTTCATCAACAATTCTTCCATATTTCATCCATAATTCCACTAAATCGCCACATACACATGAACTACTTCTCATAGCTGGAATTTTACACATCATTCAACATTAAAACAACCAATAATTCTCACAAATATACCAGAATCAATCTACACAATTATTGCTCAAATCAAAACTAAAATTGGATTTACTTACCTTGAATTTGTACAACACTAGTGATATAACCTCCCTTTGCTAAAATTATCTTCCTCTTGGACCTAAATCATATAAAACCATAAGAATTTTAAACTTTAAAGTTTAATCACACACCTTTGTGCTAGAATCTTACCTTTGGATGCTTCAGGATTGAAAATCTACAAAAATTTAAGCAAAATCCTATGAATTCTCTTTGAAATTTGATGGAGAAGTTTGAGAGAAACTGGATGAGGGGTGGCGTGTACAAGGGATGGGAATGGCTAGGGTTTAGTCTATTGAAACCTTATAACTATATATATATATTTATATTCCCATTTTGCCCTTGCACTTTCTAAGAAATTTCATCTATATCCTTTAGTCAATTACCCAATTACCCTCATTTCTATTATCTTCTTCACATTATTTTGCTTCCTTTCACTTCCCACTTTTTCATCTAATTATGAGCGAAAAGACCATTTTACCCCTAATAAAGTTTTAAAGAATTTTCTTCACATTTGTCCAAGATAAACTCCAAAGAAATTCAACTAAGGGTATTGGGGCATAAATAAAATTACGTACCTTGATGTGGGTGTTACAGTTGGTGAGGGGAAATCATTTGTTCCTTCATCCTTGTTGTTTGGCTTAGACAATCGAACATCCTTCTCGTGCACTTCCTTAGGATTTTCTTGTCTATCACGCTCCTCATCCCAATTTCCTACATCATGTGGTAAGTCATTAGAATTGTTATAATCAAAATCTTTATTTAAAATCTTACCACTTCGAAGGACTGTAATAGCCTTCACTTGCTCAGGTTGACTCGGTAACTTTCCTTGTTGATGTCCTTGTAGTTGACTCGCAAGTTGTCTAACTTGCACTTCTACCCTCTTCATGGATGCTTCTAGGCAATCCAGCTTTTGATTATTTCTCTCCTGATTTTCTCTACTAACTTGAATAAAGGCATTCAAGCTTTCTTCCAAGGTTGATTAAGTGGTATGGCTTGGTTTGGAAATTGACTAGGCCTTGGGTTTTGGGTAAAGGCAGGATTATTTTTAGTTTTCTAGGAGAAATTAGGATGATTTCTCCACCCAGGATTATAAGTGTTTGAATATGGATCATTCCTAGGCTTAGGTTGGTACTCCATCAAATTGGCTTGTTCTTGTTCATTCCTTACATAAGAGTCATAAGACAAAGAACAAGTATTAGCACCATGCCCTAAAACACCACAAATTCCACATACCTTATTATTCATATTTTTTTTGGTAGTTAGAAGTTTGACTTGCTTAGTCAATTCAGCAAGTTGCATAGCCATCTCATTGTTGGAGCTTAATTCATGTACTCCAACTCTTCTTCCTCTCATGCTCTTTTGTTGGGAATTAGCACCCAACATCTTGTATAGCTCAAACGTTTTTGTAGCAATTTTATTGCTCCACCAGCGGCATTGTCCACCATATATTAACATTGTTGTGTCAATCCATCATAGAAAAACTGATTTTGAAGTTGAAACGGGTAATGATGGTGAGGACATTGGATGAGAAGCAACTTAAATCTGTCCCATGCCTCACGAAAAGGCTCTCCTTCCATTTAAGAAAACATCGCGATCTTGGTCCTCAAGTCAGCGGTCTTTTGATGAGAGTGAAATTTGCCCATGAACTTATTGTAAACCGCCTCCCATATAGTCAATGAACTAGGTTGGAGAGTCATAAACCAAGTCTAGCTCTATCCTTCAATGTGTAGGGAAAACATCTCATCCTCAATTGATCCTCATTTAGTCCTTGCAATGGAAAGGTCTGGACGATGGCATAAAAATCTCTTATGAATGTCAAAGGGTCTTCATTAGGAACTTCATAAAAGGAAGGCAACATGCTATAATGGATATTCTTGAGCTCATAATTCCTTACTGCTACCCCCAATTGTATGCAGATGTGGAAGTCCTAATGATTGGTCTTGCATATTCCTTCATCATCCTTTGGTTCCTTGCTAGCTCCATATTTTCCATTTCTTCAAAGCTTTCCTTTTTGTCCTCGAAATGTAATGGCTCTTCTTCAAAGATGTCCTTGGGATGTAGCTAATGTTCTTCAACTAACTTCTGCAAGTTCTCCCTTATCCTATGAATATTATCAATTGGTGGTGTGAGGCTTCCTCCTAAACATCTTCGACCTTGCATATACCTGAAACAAAAACCAAGAAAAATTCAAACAAAACAAAACAAAGAACAAAGAACAAAATTCAAACCAAACTAAGAAAACAAATATAGAATTTAAATGCCAATTCCCTGGCAATGGCGCTAAAAACTTGATGTGCAAATTTAATACTCGCAAGCGCATGAATCACTAATAGCTATCGATAAGTTTACTCCCAAGGTCGATCTCTCGTGGAATTGCAGTTGTCTAAATTCTTAATTTATTTTTTTTAACAACTAAACTAAACAATTAGTAAATTTCTAAACACTCTAACCAAAAGTTGGATGAAATTAATCTAAAATAAAACTGTAAATTAATAAAAACTAATGAACACAATCTGTTGAATGTTAATTAAACCAATGAGAGTGATAGTGGGGATTTAGCTAACTTCTCAATCATGTATTGGGATATTTGGCAAATAAAACAATTAAACCCTAAATTCAGATTGTTGATTTTGCCTTTAAACCATATAGAATTCCAATGATCATGTTTATTCTCCATTTATAATTAACTAATTAACTTCTATGATCAAGTTGTTAACTAATTAACCGTAATCTGCACTAGGAAATCACACAACTATCCAAATCAAAGCAATGATCATGTATTCAATTTGAACTCTTGTTTAATAAAGCTTAATTAAGGCAAGATGATCACTAGAACCCTAATTCTCAATTTTAATTGTAAAAAGTAGTTGGCCAATCAACAAATTATAATTAATATCATGAAGAACAATTAAACAAGAAACAATTTAAAATCTTCATAAAACAAATCACCAAATACCCAATACAATCATGATAGTTAAACTAAACTCTCACAATATATTTAGTTGTTCATAATCAAACTCAAACCAATGAACTCAATGAATGAAAAACTAATCATATTGCAAAATAAGATGTAACTAAAAAGAAATCACCTAGGAATTGAAGTAGATTGATCCTCTTCCTTCTGCCCCTTGTTGAAATCTCACAATTTCTCTTAATAAAGCAACACTCTCGAAAGCATAAAATTCTCAAATTAGGTCAAAGAGAATCCTCTCTAAAATAAATTACATGTCCTATTTATAGTTTTTCTTTGCTACGGTCTTTTTGGGGAAGTATAAATTCAAGTTGGAGTTGGAAAAGTTGAGAATTTTATTTTCTCTGCGATCCGCGCAATGGCGCCAAATCTTCCCACAAACCTTAAACTCTTCCATGTCGCGGCGCCGAATTCTTCATGCCACGGCATTAACTTTCTACCCAGATAACTTTTTCACACCACGGCATAGAAAAACCATGTCGCGGTGTAGAAAAACTATGTCGTGGCGCCATCTAGTTGCTTCACATTTTTCTTCCTTTTTTCAACTCTAATTCTCGACCCATTTTGCACGATTTCTTCCAAATGCATTCCAAAAGCTCAAGTACCTTCAAAATAGTAAAAACCACCTTGAAGTAACATATTCTTAAGGTAAAACACACAAATAACAACAAAAAACATAACAAATACTAGGACAAATTGTAATATTTCACTCGACAAGTATTCACTAAGTATCTTATAGAGAGAATCCAGAGAATTGCTAGCTTAAAAAAGGAGTGTTCGTCTAAATTTTTTATCCTTAATCTAGTTATAACATACTATTATAGAATGATTATTTCTCACGTATACAAGTCCACATTAAATTTCTTCACTGAGACAGTGTGTGCAATCCTCTCGCCAACTTGACATCTCCCGACCACTACAATCTAATACCTGCAAAAATAAGGAAAGCAGCAGGGTGAGCTATAAATGCTCAGTAAGTAAACCAAACTAACTATGCTCTTACTTCGTTGTCCCCGTTTTTGCTGTACTGCTTCTAAATTTCTACTTGCTTTCTCTCTTTATTCTCAGGTGTACTACTTAGCAGTCTTCTATTTTTCTCAAATCTTTCTAAATCTTTCTAGTGATATGCTATTCTTTATCATTTTATTTCTCTTCTCTGCTAGATTATAACTTTTTGTTTCTTTCTCTAGTCAACAAATCGCTAAGTTTCCTGGCTATTTGTCATGTTTCTAATTTCTGTTCTTTTCTTGTATATCTCTAATTTCTTTTCTATTCTCGTAGGCTTCTATTTTCTTTTCTTTTTTATTCTCGTAGGCTTCTATTTTCTTTTCTTTTCTATTCTCATGGGCTTCTATTTTCTTTTCTTGGCTAATCAGACACGTAATAATAAAATAAACTATTTAATCTATGCATAAATGCATAAGATGCAATGCACATAAAATGTCTGATGCATATGCAAATGATCATGTTTGTATTCTTTCTGAAAATTCTTTTCTTTTCTTTCTTAAATTCTTTATGTTCTCTATTTCTTATTCTATTTTTCTTTCTTTTTGAAACTCTTTCTGTTTTCTGTTTTCTGTTCTGGTTTGCCGATCGGACTAGGCTGAGGCATGGATTTGGAACCTTGGCCATGTGATCGTATTTTAAAATTCTTTTTGGGTAGAATCCTCATCCACATGCACTTCTAGCAGACCGTACAATTTTGTTTTCTATTCTGAGATCGCTCACTGATGGCGGCGTGCATGTGGGAAACTTCTGCATCTCTGTCGCCACTAGCTAACGCAGTGAATGCTCACAGGTTCCTCATTGCAACAGCCCTCTGAAAACATGCTTTGTAAATCTGCAAAATAACTAGCTAGACATTTTCCAATAATTTTAAAATTTCTGAAATATATGCTATGATATGTCATGCATTTTTATGCTGTCTATGCATGGTCCCAAAATACATGTTTGACTCTGGCATGTATTCTATTAATTCTAAGGCTTTTATTTCTATACTTTTCTGGAAAGCCCAAAGTTTTATTCTAGTAACACGCTTAACTTAAATATTTTCTATTTTATTTCTGAATTCTATGCATCGTGTGTACGTACGCGATTCTATAATTTCTACATAATTATGTAATTCTTTAATTCTATCATGCTATGTAAAATGTACACGTACACAAGTATATTATCTCTTACAAATTCTACTCTTCTATAATCCTATTAGTGAGATATTAAAACGGTACAATTCAACTAGGGAATGAATTCTACATTTTGGGCAATCTAATTTCTTCTATAAAAAGCTATGCCACAACATAGGCATTAAGTCTACTAACTTGCCCAATTATGCTACTAGATTTTCTCAAACTTACATGTCACATAACCATGTCATTAAACAACTCTCTAATATTTTTCTAATGTAAAAAACATGCCTTGTACAACTTTCTAAATACAAATCTTAATGCCATAAATTCAACTTCAATTGTTATACATGCCCTTCTTTCTTCTTTTCTTTTGGCTACATTCTATACATTAATCTATATTGCCATATTAATCATTGTAAAATTCAATTTAACATATGGCACAACATATATACTTTGGCTAAATTCTAATTTCTTTCTAACATTCTTAACTAAACTTTTGGCCAATACAACATATTCTCAAGATCTTCTAGCACAATTCTATAGCTTGTAATATATAATAAGGCATGAAAACTAAACTCATACCAATCAATTTCTAAAATGGTCATGTATTTAATATATAAACTAAACTTCTATTTCTTTGATGTTTCGTTGATATTTATACTTGGGAAAGCTTTTCTATTTTTATACAATAAAATCACTTATTACATATTGTTTATAACTAATCTCAAAACAAGAAACATCAACATACTCATTTGGCCAAGCCATTCTTTGAATGATCTTTCTAATTTCAAGCATACAATCTTGAAATATGAGTGGCATCTGTTATATTATAATAATCACCCATATTTACTATCTCAATACTACACTATTGCAACAATTTAATATGCAATTCTTGCCATCATTTTTCTGAAGTCATAAGTTTCAAAACTCGTAATTCAATGACTAAATATATATGTCATTCAAACTATGCTAAAAGTTCAAGCAACTTGAACCATGCACTAAGGCCATTCATTTCATTGAACTAACATAACCAAGTGTTATTCTAAATTTTGGATAACAAAATGCACACTTGAATACAAAACTTACACTTGGTTAAGCCTAACTAACCTTTCAACTCCAATTCTTTCCTTCTCAAACAATTTCTTTAACATGATTAACAAACTCATGCATGCATTTCTCTTGAATTTCATCAAACAATTCACATGCACATGCAAATACTTGGTTGGCCACACTTCCCATCTCTCCAAATCCACCAAAATTGGAGCAAAACTCACACACAACTTAACTTCAATTCTAGCCGGATTCCACACTTCCAAATTCCAACATCAACTGTTAAAATTCATCCGAGCTTAACCAAAACATCACAGCTACATAACTACTCATCTTGGCTGAACTTCTACATATATTCTCCATAAAACAAGCATCTAAACATCCAATACTTCTTATCATACATCATACACAAACACTCAAGAATCAACTTACACATATACTACTCAAATTAAGCGTAGATTGG